AATTTCATAAACGTCAAGGACCATTCGTGATAAAAAGCCAAAACTAAAAGGGAGAGAGAAAAACAAAACATCAACAGCCCAAATAAAAGGGCCCAAGAAACTCAATCCACTCCTTGCCCCGTGCGAAGGCTTTGTCTTTTATCAAACACACACTCGACGACACTCTCACATCCCAAAAGCCCTAATCTCTGTAAACCTAAAATCCCCAATCTCCTCATCTCCTTCGCTTACGCACATACAGAGACACAGCCATGTCTCTAGTTAGACCCGGATCAGGGTCAGCCCAGCCGACGAAGCTTCGATGGGGAGAGCTTGAAGAGGACGACGGCGAGGATCTGGACTTCCTCCTTCCGCCGAAGCAGGTGATTGGGCCCGACGAGAACGGGATCAAGAAGGTAATAGAGTACAAGTTCAATGAGGACGGCAATAAGGTCAAGATCACGACCACGACCCGGACTCGGAAACTCGCGAACGCTCGACTTAGTAAGCGGGCCGTGGAGCGCCGCTCCTGGCCTAAGTTCGGCGACGCCGTGCATGAGGACGTCGGTGCCAGGCTAACCATGATCTCCACCGAAGAGATCCTCCTTGAGCGCCCCAGGGCTCCTGGTATGTCTTGTTCCGATTTTCGGATTGTTGTTGTTGATGGGTGTTTTTATTTTAGGGTTTGTAAGGAGGATTATGTGGAATTTACTTACCCTCTCTGTTTTTTTTGGAATGTTTTTGACAAAACTTTAATTGTGTATCATTATGTTTTTGTGAGTAAAAACCGATTCTTAGAAATATGTTAAAATTATTTGGGGAGATTTTGGTTATTATTTTTAAGTTTCTCTGTTAGTTTTTGTAATAGACATGTAATGATTCTTGAATTAAATCTCGGCTAAATATGTTTTTGTAGTAGTATTTCAAGTAGGTTAACTGGGTTTGCTATTGGAAATTGTGAATTGTATTGTTCGTTGCTTTGTTACTAAGCATTTTGCAAGGGAAATTAGTGATGTGTCTGTTTGAGGCAATTGCTATGTTTGAATGAAGGGAATAGAAAAAGGCGCTTTGTTTACATGAACAATTACTTTGTTGTTCTTGACAATTAGTCTGTCTAGCTGACCTTATATGTCTTTTCTAGGTGAGCATAGGGCATTTAGCCATTCTTCATGGAATTAGTTCCCAACAGTTTTCCTAATTGGCTTAAATCTCATAACTCGATATGGACAGTATACATGTCTAGTTAAATGATGCAGAAAGATCTTCTAACCCAAGACCTTAAGTATATAAGTTTGTCTTACAAAGTTAAGACAAGTTCAGCTGTGCCAGCTATCTTGAAATGCTCCTTCATCTGGGCCTGGACTCAAGTCCCTTAGATTAGGTTTATATGGAGGTTGGATGTTGTTTTAGGTTAAGAGGCCTGCTCAGGGATGGCTACTTTCTCAGAGATAATTTAGTGCAAATTCATTGCATCAATTTGATTTTGAAGATAACGTCTCTTGCCATGTCATTTTCATTTGTGCATGATGCATGATTGACATAGAATAATATTTTGAGTAACTATTTGTTGATGGCCTCCTATATCTCATTGCTTTTGCGGCTTCTCTATTTATGTCTTATGTCAGAGATTTGTTTTTGATTTGTTTGTTATCATTCAATTCCAATTGGTCACAGTAACTGAATTTTTGGGGTTTTGTGCTTATATTTATCATCACCACCCCATTTTTGTATTTGTTTTTGACTGTGAACTCCAAACTCCAAACAGGTAGTAAGGCAGACGAACCAAAGGCTGGAGGAGACTCTTTGGCTCAACTCGGAAAAGGAGGGGCTGCTCTCAAACTTTGTAGGACTTGTGGTAAGAAGGGTGACCACTGGACTTCACAGTGCCCGTATAAGGATCTCGCCCCACAGGCTGAAGCATTTAGCGATAAGCCTCCTACATCAGATGCTGCAACTGGAGCTGCTGGAACTGGCAAGTATGTTCCTCCAAGCGTGAGAGCAGGGGCAGACAGAACTGGATCTGATATGAGACGAAGGAATGATGAGAACTCTGTTCGTGTCACCAACCTTTCAGAGGACACACGGGAGCCTGACTTGCTTGAACTTTTCCGGCCTTTTGGGGCTGTAAGCCGTGTTTACGTTGCTCTTGATAAGAATACTTCCATTAGCAGAGGATTTGGGTTTGTCAATTTTGTGAACAGGGAAGATGCCCAGAGAGCAATCAACAAACTGAATGGGTACGGTTATGACAATCTCATCCTCAGGGTTGAATGGGCCACACCCAGGACAAATTAGACCCTTCTTACCCCTCTGTTTTCTTAATCTTATGAAGATACTTGCATTAAGATTGTTTTGTAGGATTTTGGTCCTATAATGTTTTTGTTCAGATGCTTTATCGAATTTTATGTTCAAGATTTTGTTGCTCTAAATGGTTATTAAAGTTGCTTGTGCGAGTACTAAAAGATTAATATGAGTTGCTTCCTACAAAGATTTAAAAATGTTGTGCTTGCATTCGTTTTTTTTTATTGTACTAGAAGAGAGATGTGGCTAGAGATCTTGGGTACCTAACACTGTTTCGTTTTCTAAATAAACTCAAGGGTTTGAGTTTTGTACGCATCGTTTGCAATGAATCATGAGCTGTTTGGTTTGTGCAGCCCCCCGAGATTGGGTTCTGCAACTTTATTTTGTTCTTGAAAAAACATTTAGTTATTCACCTGCTCTTTTGTAAGATAAACAAAGTTTCCATGCAAAGGGAGAAAACAAGAAATTGAATATAGCCTATTTTGATTTTTCCACAATAGGCCACAGCTATCAACATTTAGTTGACCATTGATTGTTAGGATATGAGCGGGCTGGAGGTAGAAGCACGCATTGTGAACTGGATTCCAGGAGAGGCAATGAGTTGGGAGCTTGGGGGAGGACTCATGGCAGAAGCCGGAGACAAGAGGAATTTGATTCCCGATCGATTGGAGCTTGTTGAATCTGCCGGAAGTGGCACGTAGGGCACTGCAGGCAATTCACAGTTCCAGGACTCCGCGGGGGTTGGTTGCTCACCAGCCCTATACTGAAGGATAGTCCTGTATAGTAAGGGTAGGAGGCCCTCCATTAGAAAAGAGGAGAGGGGAGAGTTGAACTATTTTTCAGTGGGGGTGAGATTTGGGAATGATTTTAAGGCAAAAGGAGAGGGATGGTATTGTGAAGGAACTGGTACAATGTCATTTTCTCCACGCCTAAAAGTGACCCTGTGAGCTAAAATGAAGGCTCATCTCCATCTGTGGGGATCCAAATAAAAACTGTGGGCATGATATTATATATTTTACCAAATCTGTCTAAGATCTGTTTTTTAGGTGGCAACATGTCTCTTTTCTTTTATATTTGTGTGTGTTTTTTTTTTAATATAAAAAAATCTAGGTTTCATTTCATCTGTGAAATCAATGAGATGGTCTCTACCTTCTTCCAGAGGGAGGCTCGAGAGCCATCATTGTTACAATTTTGATGCCTACTGTACAACTTGCCCTCTTCCCTCTCCAAATGCAATCTCTCTAGGGTTTGATGTGCATACTGTAAAGTTTTCGGGTATAGGGTATATTATGGAGTGGAAAATGGTAATAGAATATATATATATAGAGCTTCCATTGATGAATGCCTCAAATAAGCTTATTTGAGGAGTACCCTTATATATAAAAGTTACAAAATAAGCCTACCTCATTGCTCGTTATAAATATAAAATCTAGTACACAAATCCGACCTTGAAAAAGTGCAGGTGGTGCCACAGCACAAGGTAATGCTAACTTGTACTTTTGGATTTATTATGAGTACAATAAGCTAAATGATCTCTTAAATAATAACGACATTTCCAAAAGTACGGTATACTATTACTATGCTTGATTTGGACAGAAGAATTTGAAAGAAATTGATTTGGATGCAAAAATAAAGCTAATTTTGGCACAAAATCTAGAAAAACATGAAGATTGAATGTATTCGAAAGAACTAAATGTAACACATTTAAAATGACTATATAATAGCAATCATTTGAAATCCATTTATTTTGCTATACATTGAACTGTGATAGTTTAAACAAACAATTTTACTTTATAATATCTAATCACTAAATTTGGAATTACATCATCTAAGTGGACACTAATTCCATCACAATCTTTTTTTGGTTTCCCAAGGTATCCTCAGGTATGGCCCAGACCTAATCCTCTGAAGTATTGTCAGGTGCATATGCGGGGACCTCTCCCAAAAAAGTTTTATACATCTACAAGGACTCAAACTCGAGACCACTTGTTTAAACGACCAAAGCCCCTTCCACTCTGACCAACCCTCGTTGATTCCATCACAATCTTTCACCATCCTAGAGATCACATCTTGTAAACGTTACGGTTAATTCCTTGAACACGTGTAGTTCTTCCCCGACATAAATCAATGACTATCAGAGCTATACGTCAAATCGGAAAAGTGACCACAAAAGGGGCCCATTATCTGTACACCTATAATCAAAAGTTCTACTTGACTTTATTCTTCTCTTCTTGGAAGGATAAAATTGCTATAGCCACTAACCTATTATCTAGAGATAACTGAATCTGCCCATAATCCTAATTTTTTTCTCTGAAATTATAAAAGTTGTAACCTAAAGTCCAGGTGCAATAAGACATAAGAATTTAAAATGTATCCATTTACGTGTAAAAATAAATATCACAAAACTAAAAACTAGTTCGTTTAAAACGTGATTTATCGGGCTGTTCGTTTGGTTGATCGAGAGAAGTGCCAAATTTTCGTGAAAATTGGAGAAGCTGCCTACCCCACTAGAAATTACATCTAATTCAGATAATTACTGCAAGCCATGTGATCCTATCCTACCCCAAGTAAAACCAAATCATCAATGGGTTAAAAAAAAAAAAAAAAAAAAAAAATCAAACTGAAAGGAAAAGAGGGCAGATTGGGAAAAACAGAAAGAACCAAAAGAATCCAAACTGGCAGGCAGACGTGCACTCTCTGAACTCCGCTCGTCAGCATCGGCTTCATTGGTAATTTTGGGTATATAAAGCAGCAAGGGGCCCAAATCTTAAAGAGCCCAGATTCCCTTTTCGACAGTCTGTCTCAAATCTTTCATCTCGTGGGGTGCTTCTTGTGCATTACTGAGTAGAGCTCACCTTCCAGGTTGTACCCACGACCGCATTTTCTTGGGTTCTCAGATATCAGCTTCTTCCATCCCTCAGAAACGTTTTCATGGCTTCGCTCGTCGAATCTGGCTGGAGGGTACTTCCTCTTTCAACCCTTTTACTTTTATACTGCGGTCGTAGCTTTTACTGGTTTTTTTAAATAACAAAAATTGTTTCTTGAACCCAGATTTGATCTTTTTGTTGGGTGTTGCTTGCTTTTGAATTATTGTGTGTTTTTTTCCCCTATATGTGTATATTTTCATAATGCAGGCATGTGGGTTGTGATTGGTGTGATTGATTTTTCTGTTTTTGTGGGATAACGTAATGATTTGATCTGCCTAGTGCGTTTGGATATTGTTGTTACTGAATTTAAGTAATGAGGTCACTGGGTGGTTCTTTTCTTTCTTTTTTTATTTCTTTAAGTAATTTGGATGAGGAATAGTGACATTAAGGCGCATTATGTGTGTTCAGAATTGATATCAGCTGACTATTTGGAGATATTTTATTAAGATTATGTTTCTTAAAAAAGAAGCAGGTTCGTGTAAGTTGTGGTCAAGCAGTGTTAGTCGTATGATGCTTGAGTGTGAAGCAATATAATTGGATTGAAATGTTATTGTCCATTCCTGGGATAACGCAATGATTTGATGTACCTCGTGCATTTGGATATTGTGGTTACTGTTTTCAAGTAATGTGGTTATTTGGTTGCCTTTTTTTTCTTTTTCTTTTTTCTTTTCCTGTCCTTTTCCATTGTAATGACATCAGGGCAGCATTAGGTGTTCAAGATTGACATCAGGTGAGGATTTGTAGGTGCTCTATTATGATTATGTTCCTTCAAACCTAAGCGGGTTCATGTAATTTGTGGTCTAACAGCATTAGCTATATGATTCTTGGATGTGAAGCAATATAGTTTGAAATGGTATTATTCCACTGTTCTTTTCTTTGACTAATAACGGTACCTAAATGTATATCTGTTTCTTATTTCATGCAACACCAAACTCCTTTTTCCAAACTTCCAATGTCCTTTCTATTGAATCTTGGGACCCTGGATCACATGGACTGGGATCTGAGTCTAGGTTAGGAGCAACACGATGCATAGGCGGGGGTCATCATACTCTGGGTTTTAAATGATGGAAAGTATTTTTCATTCTTTCAATTAAACGATGCATAGGCGGGTGGCATCATAGTGTTTCTCAGTTGGTCCTTGCTTTCATCTCCATCGATCAATTTTGTAACTTTGGCGTGTGAATGTTACCTTTAAATGTTCTCAAATGAAAGGAGAATGCAACTGATTTCTCTCTAGAAACTCCTCTGGTCAGGAATGATTAATTTTCCTTCTTAATTCTCCTAATTGTCTCTATTGTTATCTAAAATTTTTCTTACTTTGTGAAATTCTTCTTTCTTTACTGTGCAGTATCTGATCACAAATTTCAACGACTTTCAACTGGCATGTCTAGGAAGTTTCTTTCTCCATGAGAGTGTTTTCTTTTTATCTGGACTCCCTTTTATATTTCTTGAGAGGGCAGGATGGCTGAGCAAGTACAAGATTCAGGTTCATCTCTCTTGACTCGGCTCGTAGTTAATTATTTTCACTTCTTTTTTTTTTCAGATCAGGAAGTATTTTTTTCTTCCTCAAAGATTTGTCTGACTAGCGCTATATGCCAGCCAAAATGTTTTCCAGCTCTGTTTAACATTGGAGATTGTAGACACAAATGTGTCTTGGAATCCAGTTTTTAGTAGAAGTCTCAATGATCAGGGATGAAGTTAGTTGTAGATTTGTTGAAGTCTTTATATGATGCTAAAGTGAAAGGTGATGGAGACTACGTAGTTGGGTCGGGCTTTATGTTTTGGGAAGAAATTTGATACCAAAGCTTTTTACTGAGCCTTATTGCAGTAATCACACTTTTGTTTCCTTTGGGTGAGGCTTATGGGATAAGTGAGGCTCTAGAGCTAGCCTTTTACACATGAACTGCAGCTTATAAGATTCTTGCACTTGATAGTTTGTGTGATTGGGGTGACTTGGATTATACCTAGTTGGGCAGTGATGTATTAAGAGTTGGCATCGTCGTGTTGCACAAAGCAGAATAGAAGAGTATGGACGGAATATTCGTTGTGTGTATTTTTGGTCTTTCTCAATGGAGCAGAGAAGCTGATGGGAAGGAGTACGCTCTCAGGGAGAGGAAATATTTTAAGAAAGCTGTTTGAATGGACTAGATGGGCTTTTGCTACTTATTTTGTAGATTCATGACAATTTTCTTTCTCTTTACATATGTAATGATTGTTTGGTACCTTTTACCCTTATGGACATAGGTGCTGCCCCATTGGCATTTCAATAGAACTTATAAAAATAGTGCCGTAACTTGATTCTAGTTTTCTGCAGACAAAAAATAACAGCCCTGCAGCTCAGGAGAAATGTATTACTCGCCTACTGCTGTATCATTTTTGTGTCAATCTGCCAGTTATGATCATTTCCTATCCTGTCTTCAAATTCATGGGCATGCGGAGTAGTCTTCCATTGCCGTCCTGGTATTTTCAGGTTCTTTATATGCTAAAGCATATTTTCTCAGACATTGTGGAAGTTGATGTCATTATCATTCAAATGATGAAGGCCACAATTTTTTTATACCTTTTTGAACATTTGGACTTTGAAAAGGCATAATTCTGTAATTCTGCATTTGGTTTGGCAGGAAAGTTGTTTCAACACAGATCATTTTCTACTTCGTCTTAGAGGATTTTGTATTCTATTGGGGACATAGGGTTCTGCATACAAAATGGTTGTATAAGCATGTGCATAGTGTCCATCATGAGTAAGTGAGAGTTCTAAGTGAACTTATTCGGTGTTAACAGTTTTGAATAATGTAATATGTGAGCTGCATTTTGGAGCTCTTACTGGTATAGCAAAACATGTGCAGATATGCTACGCCTTTTGGACTGACTTCTGAATATGCTCACCCGGCTGAGATATTGTTCCTTGGTTTTGCCACCATTATTGGTCCTGCCATCACTGGGCCACATCTGATCACTCTGTGGTTATGGATGGTACTTAGAGTGCTCGAGACAGTCGAGGCACATTGTGGTTACCATTTCCCGTGGAGCCTCTCAAACTTCTTACCTTTGTATGGAGGGTATGTGTATTTTTCTATAGCGGTCCTTTTTATCAGTGTGTATACAATATGTGCTAATTTATTCCTTTGTTTCTGAAATGGTTTTCTTTTATCATCCAGTGCTGATTTTCATGACTATCATCACCGTTTGCTTTATACCAAGTCTGGCAACTATTCATCAACTTTTGTTTACATGGACAGGTAAGCTTTTAGCATCTGCTGCTTAAAGCATTAGGAATTTTTCTACTGTAGTGTAAACTATAGTGATTGCCAGATTATCTCTGAATTATTTTTGAAAAATGCTTGGATCAGACTATGAATTAATGTTTCATCATTTTTGTCAGTTGATAGTTCCTTGTTTTCAAAAATGAATATATGCCATGGAATATAGTGTTACTAATCTAACATGAAACCAATATTTGTTCATCTTATGAACTTAGTTGTTATGGCTGACATTTTCTGTTCCGTTAGCAGGTTCTATAAATTGCTCTTTTTAAAATACAGAGAACGTTTCGCTTAAAATATCTGAAATATTATTTCCCTGAGATGCACAAGCTCCTGATTTCGTTTTCAATACGCGGATGGGTCTTGTTGGTTAGACCAAAGTCTTCATTGAAAGTATGAGATGGTTTAAGGCTCATCCTTTTCATTTGTGAACAAGGGACAAGGGACAGGAGAAGACACCTTTGGCAATGATTCACTAGTTCATCTTGCTATTAGTTTATATAAGAATCTAATTTCTTAATTAAGTAAATAAGTGAACACCAACAGAGGCAGCAATGCCTGCAAAAAGTATACCAATCCATGTCTCATAGTGTCATCTCTCTTTTGTATGATTTTTCAGGATCTTTGGAACCGATACCGGTTACAGAAAGTTGAAAGCACTGAAGAAAACTGGAGTTGAAGACTACAGCAAGGAAATGTGACATGGGAGCCAGAAATTTTATGAACTAGCTTGACATTAGTAAATGGGTTCTTTGATTCTAAGGGCAGTGCTGAAGAGGTCTCTGTTTCTGTCTCCACCTAATCTTTGTATGCAGCCATCTTTTTTGTGTTTAATTTATTTTTCTCATTTTAGAGCTCATGTTAATGTGGAATCAGTTGAAAGCATTATGCAGACATTTGTGCCCGCTAATTGCTGACATGAATGAAGGTGCCGCCTTTTTCTTCTTCCCCCAACGTTTTCTCTTTGGCCCCTCTGGTGATAATAATCTTATGTTGAGTCATGGAATTTGGAATTTGAATTCACTAAATCAGCAAAACATTATATTTTTCTTTATTAACTAATTAATTTCATTAAAGATATAAGAATTTATAGAAGATAAGGGATAACATTTTGAAATGATTGATCAATATCTGTATATGTTCAAGGTTTGTTATTCTTCTATTTCTTTTCCTTTTATTTTTTTTGGTTTGAACCATGAGGTGGTCCTGGATGGGCCACAACTATGGGTGGCACCTTTAAGCCTTAACCACAACCCAGACTAATCCCCACTCACAGCGGGTCGGCTCGTAAGGGGTAAAGTGTTGGTCAAAGTGGTGACTCCGTACGAGAGCAGGGATCGAACCCCTGACCTCTCTTAAGGAATGAGAGTGCCGAACCACTCACACCAACCACCTTGGTTATTTCTTTTCCTTTTGACTCCCCCTGAAAAACTCACTACAGTGTGTTTGGATGATGAAAGATGAAATGTTTTAGAATTTATCAAGTTCATTTAATGAATTTTATGAAGTTTTTTATTTGGCTAATTAATTTAAACGCAAAATTTAATTTAATATTTATCATCTTAGAATTTAAAAAATAACGACTATTTAAATATAATTTAAATTTAAAATCTATGACCTAAAAATTTCATATTTTTTACTACATGAAATTTCTAGATTTCTTTATCTATATATATAAAGCAAAAGGGAAAGAATAGTGAAACATTCAAAATATCAGAAAATGTCATTGGTTAATACAAACATTAAGAATTGAAATTATTAATGAAATGAGAATAATATGATAAATTCACACTTTTCATATTAAAAAAATTAAAATTAAAAGAAAAATCAGATAATAGATCCTATTTTTATGGAACACAACTACCCATTATTTTTTTAAATTCTAAAATAAATTTAAAATTTTTTTAAAAAAAAGCCTCTATCAAGGGCAGAAGAGCGTGCAGATAGACCAATTTTTTTAATCCAAATTTTTAGATTTCTTTGTTTTTTCTAATCCAAACAAGGGAATTAGGGCTAGTTTGGCATTGATATGATGTAAAAATAATCGCTGTCAGATTTGCTGTGAGAGAAATCAGTTGTGAGATAAAACAGTTTGGCGTTTGGTAAACTTTTTGTTAAAAGTGTTGTTGATATTGATTTTCGCATAATTAGAAAATGATTCCCTATAATTATTAAACTTAGCATAATCAGAAAATTCCCTATAATTATTAAACTTAGCATAATCAGAAAATAATTCCCTATAATTATTAAACTTAGCGACTCTCTGATTCCTGCATAATTAGAAAATGAAAGAACCCTATTAGCTGCTTTCTCTTGTAACTTTCTCTCACAACAATTTTTAACAGTAAGTGATTTTCTCATAGTTTACCAAACGGGCTGAGTTTCCTAAATTTTTTTAAAAATCACTTATTACTCTGAATAAGCAATGCCAAACGAGCACTTAGGGCCAGTTTGGCATTGCTGTGCTGTGAAAATAATTGCTGTTAGATTTGCTGTGAGAGAAATCAGCTGTGAGAGAACACAGTTTGACGTTTGGTAAACTTTTTGTTAAAAGTGTTGTTGGTATGGATTCCCGTTTAATCAAAAAATAATTGTTGCATAATCATTAAACCCAGCGCCTCTTTGAAACTGATTCCTATATAATCAGAAAATGAAAGTACCTTATTAGCTGCTTTCCCAAATAGCTTTTTTTCACAGCAATTTTTAACAATAAGTGATTTTCTCATAGTTTACCAAACGGATTGGGCTTCCCAAAATTTTTTAAAAATCACTTATCATCCCAAATAAGCAATACCAAAACGGGCACTTAGTGTTAATTTAAGAAATTCTGATTTTTATCAAAATTCCAAATTATTTCCCTCATTTCCAAGTAATAGTATGACCTAATTGTCGGTAATAGCGGTAATAGTATGACCCGATTGTCACAAAAATGAAAAGAGACAGAAGTTTAAATCCGCAAACGGATAAGAAGGGGTTTGATAGAATGCAGTTGGGATTAACGAATTTTCTACTCATCAGCTGAGTTTCAAACCCTCCAAATTAACCAAACCAATTACTCAATCTCCCTTCAAACCCACCTTATTTGTCATGCGGACTTGGCCATCGACATCCTTTTTCTTCAAACACGTATACAAATGAAGGTAAATTTTTCTTCAAAGGAAGGAAAAAATGAAGTACAATTAATTAAATAAAAACAAACCAAAATCAATAATACCACCATATTCACTTGATAAAACACCAAACCTTTTTTATAGCTTTTCGGCTTAGAAAAACTACATTTTCTTACCCCGTTTTTGGAATCCACTAAACTTACGTTGGGCTTTTAGGAAACAGATTTTCCATTCAAAACGCAACTTTGCTGATCATGACCCATTACCATTGCCAAACAGACCCCTCCACTTTTACCATTTCCCCAAAAACCCCATGACCCATTACCAGACCCAATAGGATTAACCAAACCTAACCCAAACCTAAACTTCCAACCCCAAAATAAAACCCTAAATTCAAGGACACGTGTTGCGCCTCAGATTCACCACGACCACGCTCACGTTGTCAGTGCTGTGCCTGGCCAATGCCAGCTTCGTCAGCAGCATCGAAGCGTCGGAGCACGCCCTGTCCGACGACGCCGCCGATGACCCATCGGTCTCCGCCGCCGCTGCCGCAAGTCGTTTCCCCCTCAGGCACATTCTCGCCACCCCACACGCCGTGTCATTCGACACCACGTCCCACAGGCCATCGCTCGCCAATATCAAACACTCGTCCTCCGCCGTCCGATCCGTGATCGTCACCTCCGGCTCGCAGCTCACGTACGGCTTCAAATAATTGTCACCTGCAAAAAAATTCACAAATTAACAATTAAAATCTTGCCGTACGACCTCTCCGAATAATTGTGTTCAGCTTTAACAGTTCCTCACGTACCTATGGCTCTTGACATGGCGAGAACTCCGAGAACCCGTGGACCATCCCAGTATATGACCCGGCCACCCGCCTCCTCGATCCGCTTCAACTCGTCCGGACGATCCGGCTGTTCGAACAATAAAATCCAAAACAAAATTAATAAAAATAAAATCAACCGAATTGGGAAGTTCACTATAATAAAGTGGACTCGCATATATCACGTATTTTCCTCCTCAGATATAATGCGGCCCTCTCAGATTAAAAAGCCTCCAAATTTTCTCGGCAACCAAACAGATTTTAAACCGTGCAATGAAGGCAATCGACCTTGTGATCAACTGAAAGAGGAAAAGCCTTGCCATTTCGGCAGAGCACGGCCCTAGAATCGCCACAATTGGCAACAACGATCTTATCGGGAGTGACGACAGCGACGACGGCCGTGGATCCAACGGCATCGGACTCGGGCGTTTGAAGCTCGCAGCGGCAATGACTCACTCCACCGCCACCTTCGCTCCACGCAACCACCTCCTTGTCCATCCGCACGAAGCTTCGCTTCATGGCGGTCCTCCACTCCTCCATGCTCTCCACTTCGTCTCTCACCAGCTCATGTAACCGCTCTTTACATCTCGTCGCCACCTAAACAAAAAATCCAAACGACGCATTAAAATCAAAGGACAACAAATTCGAAGTCGTTTATGAATACAAGAATAAAGGACTCTGGTAGGTACATGAGAGCAGCCATGGCCATCGTAGACGCCGAAGTAATGCAATTTCCCGACGGTTTCTCGGTTGCGTCGGCAAAACGATGGGTGTATGGACACCGCGTCCTCCATATCTCGTCGTCTTCCACAAACGGAAGCCAATCCGTACTTCGGAAGCTCACTGGAAGCTTCTGGAATGTTCGATGAAGTGGACGGCCGGCACTTGGCCGAAATCTTCAGGCTCGCAACGACTTTCTCTTCGTCGGAAGAGCCGGAAAACTCCAAGGCGTTGTCCAGGTCGCGAGAAACCGACGTAGGGCAGGCCTCGACTTTCTTGCGTTTCTCGGCATTTTCTGGCGGTGAGGCCACGCCGGAAACGAATTTGTACCGTCGGATCTCCATCCTCCTCCGCCTTGCGGCACGTGAGCTCTGCTCGCACGGATTCGATGACGTGTCACTCTCGCTCACTACTCCGCAGCAGATCTCCGTCATTTCAAAATTTTAATTCATCTAAATTAATCCCATTTTTGCGCGAAATAAAATGAATTTTTTTTAATTTCAATTGAAAGCAAGAAGTTGTAAGGGAAGGCTCGCGCGCTCATGAGTGAAGCTTATAAAGGCAGCTCCCATGGGCCATGGGCCCACCAACAGCTTTTTACATAGAGACCTGCAACTCTCTCTTTCTTCGTTTCTCTCTCTTGCCCGTGGTCGCCATGGGCAGACCGGACAGGCGAAATGATGTGTGACGACGTAGTGCTACTCTGCCTAAACAAACTTGTTTCATTTATCACCGTTGATCCCTCTCTTCAACTCTTATCTCGTCCGTCAAAACAAAACACGTGTAGCTAACTCTGGGGAGTAAGGGAGACGTGGCCCAATAAAAAATCGACACTGAAGATGGGAGTGGGCTTTCTTTCCTGACACGCATGTGATCTTGTTCTTTGTCTGGAGTTTAATTCTTTTTTCCGTTTGAAATTTGATGAGGTGTTGCCATGTGTCCCGGCCTCGAATGCGAGATTGGATATTTGAAAAAAGTTATAGCTTTTTGTGGAGCTTGCGACGTGTGGTCCAATCAGAGCGCTCTACGTAGAGGGGTGTGTGTTGACGGGTTGGCCCAGGTGTCTACGTCGTTGACCCCTCCTGGGATATCTAAGGGACGCTGTCTCAGTCAGTACGCGTGGAGAAATCTCATCACCATTCGTTCATCAAAGGCTGGGAACACGTTTCACGCATTGGCATATTCAGTTACAACGTCTATTTTCATCTTCAAGTTTATTTAATCTTTCCTGTTTTCGCTACGAAATTATTAAATCTTGGTAGTGACAGTTACTTTCTACTAACTTTTTGTGAATAAAAAAAGACTAATTAAAAATAAAAAAAGCGTTAACAACTGTGAATCGTTGATGAGTTAGAACCGTACAACAGCAGGAGATTACTGTTGCATACTCTCTTTTTTTCTTCTATTGTTAATAAGTTTTTTTTTAGGAGATTACTCATAGAGACGCTATTACTTCTGCGTTGAAGTTATATGCGTGATAAAAAATAGTTAGTGTTCAAAGTTAAGAAAAGGTGGGGACCTTCAATTTTGAGTTAGGCAGGAACATAATGACCATACTGGGATTTGTTTAACATATAGCCAAACATCAAAGCACAACGTGGAGAAGAGCTAGCTGGCACAGTACGTTCTGTGGGGAGGGCCGAGAGAGCTCAATTCAAATCTCTAAGTAGAGACCTCCACGTGGAAAACCTTTGGTGGCACCTAATTGTACTTAAGTGGGCCACGTGGAAAACAAGGCAAAGGCATGAAGTAACCTAACCCTAGTTTTCTTCACCCAAAGGAAACAGCCTGGTATGGTTAACCACACCCTCTCTGACGAAAACCCTAAAAAGCTAAACCCAACTCAGAGGGTGGTTTGCTTCTTTCTTTTCTTTTCTTTTCTTTTCTGCTACGTATGGGTCTTGAACGGATGACACGTGGCAACGGGGATCTTAAGGGGAAGCGTCATGCATGCAATGTTACGTGTCTTCCTGGTCACGACACGTAGGACGTGATGGACAAGGAGCTGTGGGTTTTGGGTGGGATTAGAGAAGAACAGTTTGGGTTTGGGTTTGGGTGCAGAGAGAGGGGGGGTACGTGGTGGGCTGGGTGGGGTGAGTAGTGTTAGGGTGTGCTGAAAAAAGGGCACACGCGGAGGACTGTAGGAAGCGGTGTGTAGTTTTCAGAGCTCGGGATGCGTAACAATTGGCTCTGTTTATGTCGTGCAATGCAGAGAGAGAGAGAGAGAGCCAGCCAAAGCAAAGCTTCCTTTAGCTCTCTCTCTGCATGCATTTCTGTTTCTGCACAGAAACTAGAGCTTCGACACATTAGCTCACTTTGCGTCTCTTTCTGGCAGTGGATTAAAATTTTGGTAATATTTGCTGCTTCTGGTCGGAAATAAAAATTTTAAAAAAATTGAATTAAGGGAAATTGGGATTTGAATATTTTAGGCACTAAGGTTCGAATTGTTACAGCTGTGGAGTGTGGCGGGACAACTGCTTCAGTTTCAGAGCTTCTATTGTTGGAATGTTAGGGTTGTTCTTCTTTGACTTCCATGCTTCCAAGTTTGATTAAGTCCACATAATAAATGGTTCACGAGAAACTCTGTGGAAAAAATCGGTAACAATCTTACGTAGAGTCAAAGTTTTGTATACTATATAGAATATGCTTGTCAAAATTATATACTGTATATATAACAGGCGCCCCAAGTGCTTTGTTTTATTTGATTTATTTACTTATTTTGGATATATACATTATCATGACCAATAGAATTGTGTTACTTTGGTTTAAAGAATCTAATTAAGGTGACAGTTTGAATTGAATCTGTGTTGGGTCGAGTTTGAATGGCATGTTATATATGTACGTACATTAGATTGGTTGATTGCGAAGACTAGAATTTGATTTGGAACGAAGGAAACTAATTTCAGTACATTAGATTGATGGACGGCTCACTACTCGACGCATCATGACAATAAGAAAGGCAATCAAACCATTAGCCCAAGAAAAGGAAACCAAAGCTTGGAATCCAATATGAGAAAACCTCAAAGTTTATTGAATGATAATAGGGATAACAACCCTAAACCTTTAGCTAAAGTTGGTATAAATACTACCTCAAGTCCAAGAATTCCTAGGAATCCTAAAAGAATAATAATAATAATAATAAAAAATCCCAAAACTCCCTCAAAAACTAAAATGTTGTTTTGGGCTATTAAATGACGTCAACCACCCAAAAAAACCCATATATGACTGGGAAGTGGCAAGTTTGACTCATGACTCTGTTCTTTTCAAAACGACGAATCATTAACCCATTTCAGAGCTCAAGGTCCAAATATGCAGTTTATTACTCAATTTACCCTCATCATATGCATCTTTGATTGGATTACCGGTTTTAATAATGATGAAAAAATGAATAAATTCTCATCAAATATTTGATAATACATTGTATATGTAAAATAGAAATTAAACATAGTTCCATGATATGATTAAAATTGTTCATAATTTATTCAATTTCAAATGCCTATAAGAGGAAAATTCATGAAACAATCTTTTTATTTCATTTTATTTGGATTACATACCGCATGAAACCAACTAGATGAGATTGGATTGATTTCAATTTTTCAAAATAAAAATATGTCATCCAATTAAAATACGTGGGTTTTAGAATTTAGGAATCCAACTCGATCCTTCAAATCATCAAAACCAATCAAAATTAAATTGAATTGACTGGTTTGAGCGAATTGAATTTGATCTTTAACAAATGTGCTTCATTGCCCCCTCAAATTCGGATGCCTTTGAGGCTTTTCATGTAAAAGACCTCCTAAGTTGAGGCGCCCATGGACCAAGCCAAGACCCATCTTGTTTGAGGAGTGCAATTAACATGGGGTAAGGAATGCAAGCCCAACATAGTATAAACACACTATTTAATCCAATTATCAATCCCTTAATTGTAGCAACTATGATCACTTTTTTCACTTTCACGTATGTGGTCAAAGGTTCAAAATTCCTAAACATTCTTCAATGAATATTTGTGTAAATCCCCACTCAATTGTTTGTACTAAAATAAATGTGTCAAGAAGTAGAGGACTTCCTTTTTATATAGGAAAACACAACTACAACCATATATACAAGACGGAGGGAGAATAGTAATATGGGCTCCAATGTGTATAAATTAGGATTTGGTTCTATCTCGAATTGACGAAAGTGATTTGAGAATTCTGTTTGCTTTTACAACTAACTCAACAAAGTTGTCCACACTATAAACCCCACCAAATCTCAGAATAAGGAGCACCAAGAGACAAAATAAAAGGATCAATCATGCACACAAAGAAATCAGTACATTACTTTCCAATCAGATTACAACGACGGATAAAGATGATCTCAATTGACTTATATATACGAAAGTGAAAGAGAAAGAAAAACCATATAATTTTTTCTTGACAAACAAAAATCCCAAATTCACCCAAATATATTAGCTCTCTCTCTATTGAAACTTTTTACTTATACATAAGAACTTACCATTATTATACTTAATAATCTCATCATACACAGTACATGCAAATTTAGGTAAGACAGAAAAGACCCAAAAAGTATGGTTTGTTAAAAGGCCAAGAACCGAACTTCAACTTCTATGCGATAACGGGTGTACCACACACCTTATGTTTCTATCTCTCCCATCACCTGTCTTATGACATGAAAAGATAGATAAACACGTAATATATGTGACATGAAAAGGAATTCTTTAGGTGGGTGAAAACCCTTTTGCATAAATTAGCTCGAGCAAGAATAAATAGCTCAACAAATACTCCAAACTTTTTACCATAAAAACAAATTAAATAAGAGGAGGCAAGTGTTTCAAATTCGAATATTAATATTGTGGAGAAATTCTAAGTTCTCATCACAACCTCAACAGAAAGGTTGACAAGTTAATTGAGTATGGATTAGGAATGTAGTTAGTCAAAAATGCACTTTAATCACCCACCAACATCTATGCAGTCGTAGACACCATATTTGAAAAAGCGAAAGATTTGTTAGGTTTCCAAATGTGACCTAGATAACAAGGACCTTTATTTATCTCTCTGGAGTCTGGACTTTGTTCCTGGTTAGGCTAATTTGGGTACCTTTTTGCTTCTTCTTCACTCGACGGGTCACTTTCTTGAACTGAGTTCCATATTTTTCTTGTATCCACCACGTCCTCATCACCACCATCACAATAACCACATACCAATAGGTGAAGTTTCCCTTTCGACCAAAAAAAGAAAGAAAAGGTGATCCATCTTTTTCAACCAACACATCATCCCCTATATATTAAGACTGATTTTACTTTTAATTTTTTTCTTTATTAAAAAAAAGAAAAAAGAAAAACTAGAACTGTTGCAAACATTCTTTTTGGGTTGTGGAAAATGTAGTGAACAAATGTCTAAATATATTTATCCACACTCGAATTCTTGTTCTTGTGTGTTCTTCAGTTTTCGACCCATATGGAAATGGGCCTCAATCACCTGATATCAACAAATTGGACTTCAATTTTGGGTTGTGAAATTAATGGACCAGAAACATTCGGATCCACAAAGGAAGCCTACTTCTTTCTTTCCTTGTTTTAGGTATTAAATGAAAATGACAGCTTGGTATCGGATTCAATCCACAATATTTTGTACATTATATTTTGGCTCAAATTGTAAAGAGTAACCTAAAATTAATTGAGGACACCATACTACTAAATTATTTATTGAATTACTAATTTATCCTAATATAAAATAACTTAAAAGGATATATTAAATTGTGAAACAAATGTAATTTTAATAAATACGCCATATTCACCATATTGAACCCTTCAATCTTGCAAGCTTGAGGGTGAGATGTATAAAATTAACTGAGGACACCATACTACTAAATTATTTATTGAATTACTAATTTATCCTAATATAAAATGACTTAAAAGGATATATTAAATTGTGAAACAAATGTAATTTTAATAAATACACCCTATTCATCATATTGAACCCTTCAATCTTGCAAGCTTGAGGGTGAGATGAATGGGAAGAATACTGCATCTCATGCCCAAAAGAGCATTTATGGGCAGAACTTTGCAGTTCTCTCATGCCCAAAAGAGCGTTTATGGGCAGAACTTCGCAGTTCCATTTCAACCCCTGAACTTTACCTTGATGCCTTATCTAGTGAAAATCACATTGAGCAATCGCAATATGACATGTCATTTGCCTCCTTCAGTGGAAATTAGTTTCATGCTTGAACTTTTCAACCATGGAGCTGGGTACAAAGGGATGTGCGGGAGATAGGGAGGGTGTAGAACTTGGAGATGGATGGGTGGTGGACGAAGGAATGGGCGGGTGGGGGTTGGGTGTGGAGGCGGTTGTGGAGGGGAGGGAGAGTGGGGCACTGGGTAGGTTTTTATTATTTTATTTTTATAAATAAATCTTTTCAATTATTTCATTTGTAGTTTATTATTAGTTTTTAAAATTATTTAAATAGGATGTATCAGGGGTTTTTTTGATAGTTAAATATGGTGTATCTAGTTAATTTTATATTATGGTGTACTAAGATCATAGGGTGTACTAAATTAATTTTAGGGTTTGTTTAGCAGCACTCAATGCTAAAATAATCCCTGTGTTTTAGCCCGTTGGCCAATTTAGTCCACGTTTTCAATTTGGCCAATCTGGTCTCTGTGTTTAGCACAGTTAGCCAATATGATATATTTTGTTAAAATTACCATAAAATAAACATGATAATCTTTTTTTTTTCCCTTCAATTTTGAAAACCTATAAACTTGTTTAAAATTAATTTAAAAACATATTATCAGAGGAGCTTCCGAACTATTATATTTAGAAACTTATTATATCTAGTAACTTTATAGGGCTACAACTTCTCTTCTCAGTAAGTGAAGAAATAAAAGGCCCTCCATATAAAACCACAAACTAGAGCATATTATTAGATGGATCAGAAGGTTCCGAACTCAAAAGACAAGGAAACCAGAGAGACCTCTAGCTTCTCCTACTACTAGCAAGCACACAAATCACATAAATAATTTTTTCATGGTCCTTGGAAGAGGAGGCCATTGGCAGTGAACCCTCCATCGACGCAGATAGTTTGGCCAGTTATGTAAGATGCTGCAGGGAAGCATAGAAATGCCACCAAGGCGGACACCTCTTTTGGCTCTCCAGTCCGTCCTAAAGGGCATCGAGAATTGACAGCCTCCAAAAAATTTTGGTTACTCAGAAGCTGCAAGTAATGAAGAGACCATAGAGAAGATGAATGCACATGTTACGTGTGAGGAAAGTTTGAGTTTAAATGTGTAGTTACTGATTAACAATTTAACAACATAACATAATATGTTAGAAAAATTTTAAAACACGATCATATGGAAATTTTTGAAAGGATCTTACAGGCTCAGTGAGGGGAGTTCGGATGAACCAAGGTGCAACACTGTTGGTCCTTATGTTGTCTTTTGCCCACTCACATGCTAAGTTTTTTGCCAACTGGTTAATTGCTCCTGAAATAGAGTGCAGAGAAGAGTCACAATCTTCAACTTGCAGAACACAATTATAATTCTATTTTAATTTTAAAATGCAAAAACTATGTGCAAAGGAAACGACCTTTTGTGGCAGCATATATACTAGCCGTCCCAATTGATACAACGCCAGCAACAGAAGACATAAAAATAATGTTCCCAGCTCCTGAAGCTTTCAAAAGAGGATGTGCAAGTTGGGAAAAATGGTAAGCAGATTCAAGATTGGTACTCATAATAAATGAGTAATCTTCAGTTGTGGTCTCGATTGCTGGTTTTAGTTCGGCAGTTCCCACGTTGTTTATCTACAGCCAAAGTCCAAGAGTATTATTAAAACATAAAATGAAGGTTTTATATTCATAAGTGGGAAACAAATACCACCCTTACTTAATCGGGCCGGACTTGTGTCGGGTTAGGGCTGACCCGGTCCATTTAACACCTCTACTTCCAACATTAGAAAGACAAATAACACTAAATATTGAGTTAGCTAGTACAGTTTCATATATATCTCCCTGGAAATTTTTTACAGCCAATATATTTTGAGCATCCCATAAATTATACAAAAATGCAAGGCTCAATCAGTTTAACGGATAAGTGGAGCAAACTTACAAGGATGTTAAGTTTGCCGTGAAATAGTGATGAGACCTTGTTTATAAGCTCCTCTCGTTGAGCTTTTGAGACCACATAGTCCACGTTTTCAATTTGGCCAATCTGGTCTCTGTGTTTAGCACAGTTAGTCATATGTGATATATTTTGTTAAAATTACCATAAAATAAACATGATAATATATTTTTTTTCCCTTCAATTTTGAAAACCTATAAACTTGTTTAAAATTAATTTAAAAACATATTATCAGAGGAGCTTCCGAACTATTATATTTAGAAACTTATTATATCTAGTAACTTTATAGGGCTACAACTTCTCTTCTCAGTAAGTGAAGAAATAAAAGGCCCTCCATATAAAACCACAAACTAGAGCATATTATTAGATGGATCAGA